CGTGTCCATCACGAACGGCGTGGCTGTGTGTTCGACGTACCGCCGATGCTCCCCGGCGTACTGCGCATGAAATGAGGAACTGCGTGTGCGACGGCGGTGCGCAGCTCTACGTGCGGGGCTACAGCGGCGAGCCTGCGAGTGACCGGAGCCTGGAGGTGAGCGTGAGCGGGCTGTCCGGCGGCTACTGCTCGCTTTTGTTTGTGCACAACCTGCCGGCACACACGAACGTGACGGTCCGCGACTCGACGATGGTGACGGCGGGACCGATGCGCTACTCGCAGCTGAGCGGGCTGACGGACGCGGTGGCGTCGCCGCTTGTGCTGCACGCGACGTCGCTGTTGCAGACGCAGCTGCGTGTGAGCAACACTGTGCTGAGGTCGTTGCACGCGGGCGGGTCTGCGGTGCACGTTGGCGGCGGCGTGGACCTGCTGTCGAGCGCGGTGGTGCTTGACGGCGTGTCGCTGGAGGCGTCGGGCGGTCCGACCGCTTCCGCGATGCGTGTGGCGTCCTCGTCGCGTCTCAGTCTGCGGAGTCACTCGGTGTTCTCCGTGACGAACGTCTCTGTTGTGAGCAGCGGCGGCGGCCTTGCGCTTGGCGAGCGCCTCGCGGTGTCCGACTCGGTGCTGCGCTTTGTGGGCGTCGAGGGGTCTGCCGCGTCCTCGCTGGTGCGCTGCGACGGTGGGACGGTGGGTGGCGGCGGGTGGCTGGACCTGCACGACGTGTGGGCGGTGGGCGAGGCGTCGTCTGTGGCGTCGCTGTCGGGTGTGACGCTGAGCGGCGGCACCGTGTCGATTGCGCGCTGCACTGCCGCCGGCGCGACGCTTGTCTCCGGGCCGGCGATCACGAGCGGCGTCGTGTCGGTGCAGTGCAACCGTGCCGGCGGCCGGGTGCTGCGGAGCAGCGGCGACTACCGCATGGCCGGCCTGCCCTCCGTGAGCGTGGTGCCGTGCGACGGCTGTGTGGCCGCGCTGGCGTGCTTCGATGCGCTGACGGCTTCGTTCTCCGACTGCGTGTGCAGCTGCCGTGCCGGCGGTGTGGGCAACGCGTGCCTGCCGTTCGACGTGCCGCCTGCGAGGGCCGGTGGTGGTTCGCAGGACTGTGTGAGTGGCGTGACGCTGACGGAGTCCGTGACGGTTGGCGGTGGGCGGGCGACTGCGTGCTTCGACTTGGTGGTGTTCAGAGGGCCGATGACTGTGACGGTGGACATGCGCTTGATGGACGCGTTCGCTGACGCGCTGAACGTGACGCTGCGCCACTGCGTGCTTGCGGGTGGCGCACAGCTGCGGATTGGCGGCCTCAGCGAGAGCACGGCGCTCTCGATGCCTCACGCCCTCGTCAACATGACGAATGTGACGTCGCTGGAGGGAACGGTCGTGCTGCATGGCGCGATGCCGCCGAACTCGAGTGTGCTGCTGGCGAACTCAACGCTGCGCGCGACGGTTGGCGGGTCGCGGTACGTGCCGACGACCCATGGCCGTGCGGGATACCGGTACGGCTCCGCGCTTGTCCTGGATGGTGTCCGGCTTCTGTCGACGCGGTTTGTCGTGACACGGTCGATGCTGGCGTGTGGCGGTGCCTCGTGCGCTGCGATCCTCGTGGAGCGCAGCCTTGTCGCCGACCTGTCCAGCGCCTTTTACATGGACAACTGTGCTGTCGTGTCGCGGACGCAAGTGATGCACGGTCTTGCGTCGGACCTGCGTGTCAGCGGCGGCTCCGTGTTCTCCATACAGAACAGCTCGTGGAGTGTGCCGAGCACCGAATACTACAAGGGCGCGTGTGGGTTCAGGGATGTAGCGGTGGCTGGCGGCAGCGTGCTGCAGATCGTGTCCAACACTTTCCGTCTCAGCTTTGCCATGCTCATGGCAGCCACGTTGACTGTGACCGGCGGCAGCTGGCTGGTGCACCGCGGCAACGAGTTTCGCACGGCCTACGTCGTGCACGTGAATAACTACTACGGC